CCAGTTAAATTTGAATTATATCTAATTGCTTATGCATATGTACATTGATGGAAAATAAAAATATTGCATAGAACATATAATTTAAAAATATTTGTTATTCATAGGAAATAAATTAAAAGTTATCTAAATTGTACACTTTTATATTTTTCTGACCTTTTGGTTCCCTTTAGTATTTCCTTGTTTCGTGGAATTTGCTTGTAAAATTCCTTGTGCACATAATCTATGTTCATTTTCTTTGTATCAAGCTTCTACAATGGTCACATCTAACTTCTTTAGATTTCTTTGTTTATTGAATATTCATTAATGAAAAAATATAATCAGCAGTAGCATTATGAGCCAATATACTGAACATACACTAGATAAAGTTAACAGCCCTGAAAACTGCTCTTCAAATACTGCTTGTTGAAGAAAATATCACCTTTCGTGGAATGAGATGGTTTTTCATTTTTTGGATTTATGCTGCATCTCTTGATCAATAACTTTTAAAAATGTTATCTACAGGAAAAGAACACTGTCATCAATGTTTCTTCCTTTCTTCTTCAACACTACACATAATGTTTCCACTTGTTCCCATGCCAGAAGAATAGTAATAGTCTTTTAAAACAATCAAATTCTTCATGAGATGAAATCCATTTCAAAAGGTAGTCATGACAAGTACTGTAATAATTATCCACTCCAAGTCAGGATTTCTTTTCCTGTCCCCTTTAAAAACAGTTTTGATACTTAAAGGGATAAAATCTTTACTAATCATTCCTTTAGTGCATTCTACAATTCCTTTAAGCAATGGAGTGCTTCAACAGCGATAGTTTCTCTTTGTATAATCTATTGCTAAACAGATATACACTGTGATCAAGAGGTAACTAAGTTTTCCTTATGAATTACAATTAAAGTCAATTAAGAATTTGAGGGACATTTTTTTAAGAATTAAAGTATTCTTTACTTTAAGAAAGTAAAAAAAATAAAAAAAAACAGGATTCTCTATTTATTAAAGCAAGCTAACAAGTTTTTGAATGTAAAAGAAATGAAAAATACTGAATGAAAAATCCCTCAATTTTTCAGTTGAACACTGTATATGCCCGATTTAAGAGGACAATGTCATGACAAAGTCAACAGAAAAGGCATCAGATATTCTTTCAGCAGCGCCAGGCAGTATATGAGGCAGATAGCCAAGTGGCTTCCAAAGAAACATTTGTGTTTTACTTCAACTTTGAATAAACAATGTTTGCACCTTTAGGCAAATATCTGCCATCATTTGTATCACCTCCACCAAAAGCAGTACAATTTTCCTCTTTAACTCCTAATTCAAAAGGAGAGAGTTTTCACCTCTGCAACAATTTGCTCTTGTTTCTGAAGTCTCATCTGGAAGAGTCTTTACTAAAAATAGCCTTACAAGTGAGCCTTTTCACAAGAAAGGTATTGCACAAGTGAATTTCTCTGCCTTGTCATTGCTTGCATCCATAAAAAAGATGAGGCATTTAGGGCTTTGATAATCACTGAAGTAGTAAACGGAGTTATTACATTTTAAATTATTGCAGTAGGTGTTGTCCTGGCATTTGACATTTTGCTTCCAGTTTTGGAATCAGAAAATACTGGTAGCAATACATTCAAAGAGTCATTCAAGCTGAAAGACTGATGACAATATACAATGTGGGAGGCTGCTACAACTTCTGCTGTGATTATTTTATGTTCTTCATATAGATTTCTCATAATCAAATTTTTATTTTATCACTTTCTATGATTCAAGTTGAAGAAATTGCACATCTTTTATGCTTAGCTGTTATTATATGCTGGCTTATGTCAGACTTTCTATCATTTTAAATATTGAATGAACATTTGCATACCCCACAGAGAGCTTCAAGAGGACTTTTTCCTCATGTGATAATGTCCACTGTTCGGAAAACTTATCATGAAATTCACACTTGCATTTTGGCATTTAGAGGCTTAATATAGCAAATTAAAAAAGAGATAATACATTTTATTTTCAACAAGGGTGACAAGACAACTTAATGGGAAAAGAAATGGTGCTGAGGCAACTAGATAGCCACAAGAATGAAGCTGAACCTCTACCTCACATCAAACACAAAATTTCCATATCAAATGGATCAAATACCTATATATAAGAGCCAAAACTACTAACTCAGAAGAAAATGTCAGGGATAAATCCCTGGATTAGGCAATGGTTTCTTAGATATGACACCAAAAGCACAAGCAAAAAAGACAAAATAGATAAATTTGATATCAACAAAATTAAAAATTATGTGGTTCACAGGACACCATGAGATGTGAAAAGACAACCCACAGAGTGTGACAAAATTTTTGCAAATTGTAGATCTAATAAGAGACTTGTATTTAGGATAAATAAAGAATTGTGCGCTGTGCTTAGTTGCTCAGTTGTGTCCAACTCTTTGCAACCCCATGAACTGTAGCCTGCCAGGCTCCTCTGTTCACACTGATTCTCCAAGGCAAGAATACTGGAGTGGGTTGTCATGCTCTCCTCCAGGGAATCTCCCCAACCCAGGGATGGAACCCAGATCTCCCACATTGCAGGCAGATTCTTTACCGTTTAAGTGGTACAACTGTTTTGGAAAACAGTTTGAAAATTCTTCCAAAGGTAAGTAAAATTACCCAGCAATTCCACTCCTAAGTTATATTCCCAAGAGACTTGAAATCACATACCCACCAAAAAACTTGTACATGAATGTTCACAGCAGCATTCGCTAAAAAAAAAAAAGTAAAAAGTGGAAAGAACCCAAATGTCCATCAACTGATAAATGGATAAGAAAGATGTAATATCCATGTAATAAGAGTAGCATTGAACCATAGAAATGAAACCCTTGTACATACTACAACACGAATGAGCCTTGCAAACACTATGCTAAATGAAGAGTTGGACACAAAGGGCTACATACTGTATGATTTCATTTATGTGAAACGTTCAAAATAGGCAAATCCAGAGACAGAGAGAAATTAGTGGTTGCCTAGTGCTGGGATAGTTGGGAAGAAATGGGGGAGTGACAACTAAAAGGTATAAGGTTTCTTTTTGGAGAGCTGGAAATGTTCTAAAATGATCATGGTACAGCTAAAATGATTGCACAGCTTTGTGAATAAACCGATTGCATTGTAAAACAAAAAGCATTGATACTAGTGACCAATGAAAAAATTGAAAAAGTTGTATTTAATGAATCTAATATCTGCACTATTGCATCTGTCACAAAGTCCAAACTCGTACGTGGGAATTGAGTCATGAAAGCGTTTGGAACTTGAATTTACGAAAAGCAAATTGAACTCAATGGTGAACAGTCTGCCTACAAAGAACTGCACTTGTAAGGAACAGTTTCGCTTAACAAAGTCATAACGGATCTTATACAATGTTTTGGGAAGCTTGCTTTCAGGGACTGGCGGTATTTCAGAAGCATGAGCGTACAGAGACTTGAGTTCCAGCTTCCTCGCACGGTTATAAGAGTAACGCTGCCGAGGATCTACTAAACCTTCAGAAGCCTGGTCCCCGCAGTGAGACACTTGCTGATTGGTTGTCGCCTAGAAGCATGGAGCTGTCAATGATTGGCTGAGGCTGACATTGATTTAGGCTGACTTTGATTTAGCCACTTTCAGAAGCCTAGGTACTGGAGTGAAACTGTTGTTGACTGGCTGATTTTCAGAAGCCACTGGAGTGAGGCTGTTGCTGATTGGCTGGTTTGCAGAGCCAGTGTACTGATGTGAAGTGATTTCTAGTTCAGGACTTGGAACTTGAGCCAGAAAATCTTTTCTTTTCCTGAATGTGAAAAACAAGTACTTGAAAATTCTAGTTCCTTCTTTTGGTGTTCCCTCAGCTAAACTCATTGGAGACACCATAGAGATTGTCCAAATCTTTTATTTGTAGAGGAAGGATTTTCAGCTAGTAATTTAAGAACAAAATACTATGGCAGAAAGAAGTGTTAAAGGGGTGTTAGTCGCTCAGTCCTGTCGGACTCTTTGCGACCCCATGGGCTGTAGCCCGCCGGGCTCCTCTCACCAAGGGATTCTCCAGGCAAGAATACAGGAGTGGGTAGCCATTTCCTTCTCGAGGGTATCTTCCCAACTCAGGAATGGAACCCGGGTCTCCCACATTGCAGTCAGATTCTTTACCGCCTGAACCACCACGGAAGCCCACCTGACTGTAAAAAGACGGATATAGGACATTTAGGGCATCCTGAAAAGTCAATATATGACGCAGGACAAAATCATTAAATATATCCTATATATATGATGCCTGGAAACTCTGTCAATTATAGAGGAGACTGAGGCTCGGTGGGATTTGCTTTCTTACACATGGCCCTGCAGTCGGAAACGGGTCGACTTACAATCTGAACTGTAAAAGGCAGGGATCCTCTGGGCCCCTGTGAGCCCCTAACGTCTGTGCAAGGCTAGGCGCGCATTGCTAACCCGAGGTCGGCTAGAAATCGGCTGAATGTTTGAAGGGAGGATGTGTAGTTGATTAGCAGCGGGCGTAGAAACCGCAGCAAGGTACCCTCCTGGGAGACCGGGGTACGAGATCCGAGCATCCAGGCGGCAATCGAGTCTGCCCCCGCGCCGGCGAGGTGCCGCAGCTTCTAAAGGTTTTGCTGAGGGCTGTAGGCGGCTGAGCGGGGCGGGGCGGAAAGAGGCCCCGCCCCCGAGAGCGCCTGTGTGCGTGGCTGGCAGCGCCGCAGAGTCCGACTCCACGATGCGGGGCCCGAAGACAGGGCAGAGCGGCGGCGTGGTAGCCTTAACTCTGGGCAACCGCCTCGAAGCTTAAGGACGACTCGGCCCTGCGGCCCTGTGCCCGCCCCCCACCCACTGCAGACGCCCACATCCGCGCCCTTTGCGCGATTCGGGCTCCGCCCCCGCCGTGCTCCTGCACGCTGCGCCCCCCGCCCACCCGGCACGCCCAGCCGCCCCGCCTGGCAGAAGTGGGCCTGAAGCCGCCCCTCAGGCTTGAGCGACCCTCGCAGCGGCTCGGTCCTCGTCCACTGTCGACTGCAATGGACGCGTATCCCCCGCACCGGGTGGGGCTGACCCGGGCGCGCTCCCTCGGCGGCCCTGGCCGAGGGTCGCCCTCCGTCAGGTACAGGGGGACGAGGCCTCAAAGGGGCGGGCAAGGGGTTGCGGGCTGTTGGGGTCTGGCGACGCCGCTCGCCGAAGGGCGTGGTCCGATATGGCTTCCTCGCGGCCGGTTTTTTCCTGAACAGTTTCCTGAGGAACGTTTCCCGAGGAACGGCGCCTGGTGCCGAGTCTCCCACAATGGCTTCCTTGTCGACAACCCCATAACGGATCCCCTGTGAAGATCCCCCTTGCTATGACATCCCCACCCCCACAGAACATTTCCCCCTGAAAAGAAGCACTTATCGAGGACCTGCACAGTGGCTGATTAGCTCACTTGCCTTCCCCGGAGAATATTTCTCCCTGAAATGGCCATCATTGGAGATGTCCCCTCACAATAGCTCCCCTGTATAGAACCCCATATTGGTCTACCTAGAAATGGCTGACCTGTCTTGCTCCCCTGAAGGAGCGGGTCTCGTTTATAATCTTTCCTCTGCATTGCGTCTGTCCCCTCGCTCCCTCTACAGAAACACCCACTCGGACCGCATCTTCCATACTGCGCGTTTCCGCACTTCCCCCTGCCCTGTCCTGAGTCGCTCCCTCAGTCCACGATGAGGAGCTCAGATTGAGGAGAGGTGGAGGTCAGTAGGGGCGCAGGAGGTGAAAACGAACTGCGTAGGGAAAGGGGATCAGAATCCCCGAAAGCTGCGGACTCCAGGCCACAGAACCTAGAGATAAAGGCCTCGGGGTGCCTCAGTCTAGGGAGGGTCCCCACCCCCTTTCTGTATATAAAGGTTTATTTCTATTCTCTGCTCTCTGTGCCTTTGGGACTGACCTTGATAGTCTTGGTATCTTGTGTGATGCAACTGAGTTGGGGCCGCCAGCGAAGTGTGGATGATGGAATAACGGAGGGGTTGTAGCAGAGACCGTTGAGAAGAAAGGAGGAAGAGAGAGAAATGGGCTTTGGTTCTGCTAAATTGTCATTAAACAAGAAGAGGGTTTTTGTTTGTTTTGTTTGCTTTTTCCCCCGATTCTAGCTCTTTAGCAAAGCAAATATAGTGTTCCTTTGAAAGAAGGTTTTCAACTTACCTGTAAAAACAGCCCATATCTTTATTATGGTATTTAAGGCATTGTATTTTAAAATTTTTGCTCGAAAATGTTTTTTATCCCTTTGTTATTTTTGTTTGTTTGTTTTTTGTTTTAGCTCCACCAGATTCGTGACGAATAAGAGCTAAATCGTAGAATCATGTCCTTCGCATACTTTACTGACATTCCTTCTTCCACCCCAGCTACTAACACATGTTTGTTGAATAAAGGATAGAGGAGGTGGGACTAGATACCCTTGGTTTCATTTGGGAGTCCTAATTGCTTCTGATTTGGCTGGTGACAGGTGACATATTTGGATTCCTCCTCTGCTCTTCAGTGGAATTCCATTGGGCTTTACGGTTCCAATTGTTTAGCTGCTTATGGTAACCATCTCCAGTCTGTTTTAACGTTTCTGGCAGCCAGTTTCACTGTTACAAAGTATTTGAATGTTAAATATAATAGAAACTGTGCTGGATACTTAGAACTTGGGCAGCCACCCTTCAAATCCAAGGCCTTTGTAGACTTGGAGTTTGTTCCTATCATCTTGAGCTTTGAAGTATGGAGTCTTTTAAGGAAAAAAGAGCTTCCCAGTAAAATCCACCTCTGAAATAACTGCTTCCTTTCCTTGCTTCTAGTAGCATGGCAGCATGCTTTTATTTTTTTTTTCTGGTAAGTAGTGTTTCTTTTGTTAAAAACATTAATGTTGGCTAACTTTACTAATCATATTCAAATTTCGAATTTTCTGCCATGTGGTTTGAGTGAAACTTGTTAGTCTTCAGACAAGGATAGTACCAGGAACCTCAAGGCCTGGTGGTTGTATACCTCTGGTAAAAGAAATTTGATCAGTTTCCCTGCCGTTTTTAACTAAACATACTTCTCTTATTCATTCAGTCAGGCCTTTCCCTGATTATGACACTGACTGTTCCTACCAGGTTTGTTCTCAGTACTTTGCTATCACCCATATTTGGGCCTCTTTGCTACGCTCCGACTCCTGAGTGATTAAAGAGGCAGGCCTGACTGGTGAAGTTAACATTCCTAAAGACCCATAGATGGTACTTTGCAAGTGAGTGGCACTTTTCTAGCAATGGAGTTAATCTTCACAGGCTAGGAATAGAGATCATAAGTTAAAATGTTGTTGCTTAGATCTGGAAGCTACTCATGGTGGTCATCAGTGCTGTCCATCAAATATCTTGGGTTTCTGTCTCCTGGGCACATGGTACACTTGTACTTGCTTGCCTCCTTGAAGTTGGGTAAGGCCTTGTTAGTTGCTTTTGGTTAGTGAAATGTGCACAGGAATGATGTGTATCCCTTCATGGTAAAAGCTTCTGGTGTGTAACTTGCCACTCTCTTTCCTTCTTTTGGTGATTGTGTGCTCCAGATGGTGACTAGTCTCAATCTGGGAACCAACTAGCTTCCAGATGATCTATCTTTGACATGTAGATGAGCAAGAAATAAGCCTATTTTCAAGCCACTGAGATTTTGGAGTTATTAAAATAACTGAAGTGAAAGTCGCTCAGTCGTGTTTGACTATACAGTCTGTGGAATTCTCCAGACCAGAATACTGGAGTGGGCAGCCTTTCCCTTCTCCAGGGGATCTTCCCAACCCAGGGATCAAATCCAGGTCTCCTGCATTGGAGGTGGATTCTTTACCAGCTGGCCACAGGGAAGCCCAAGAATACTGGAGTGGTTAGCCTGTCCCTTTTCCAGCAAATCTTACCCACCCAGGAATGGAACGTGGGTCTCCTGCATTGCAGGTGGACTCTTTACCAACAAAATAACTATCTTTGTTTGTACTAAGGGACCAATGGAAATAGCTGAAATATGCTTTTGTACTTAAGATCTTTTCCTGCAGAGGAATCTGATCCTGCTTTGGACTTGTTTAACAGTTTAAATTTCACTGTTTCTTTATGCAAATTCCAACATACACTGTGCTGGATCTTGTGAATTCAGACAGATGAGGCAGGTCTCTGCCCTCCAAGAGCTTTTTTTGTAAGTGGAGAGAGAGAAAAACAGTAAAAATCATAATACAGAGAGGTGAGAAATAAGTCTTGGGGATGAAATAGGGCTGAGGGAACAATAATGTTAGAAGGCAAAGGCAGTTTTGAGACTCAGCAGTAGGAAGAATGGAGTTGCCAGTTACTGATATTGGAAGTACTGGAATAAGAGTAGGCTTGTGGAAAAAGGGTTCAATTTTGGCCTTGTTCATTTTGAGTTTCCTAATTGACATCAAAGTGGAGATACTGCATTAGCAGTTGGGTATATTAGTCTGGAGTTCAGAAGAGAGATTGGAACTACCACTCATATTACTGATGACTCCAAGGTTTTTTTTAAGCTTATAAGACTGGATAGAAACCCAGGGAGTAAACATAGATAGAGAAGAGGACCAGTGTCAAAACTTTGGGCTTTCCCGTGTAGAAAAGACAGTGTACCAATGTCTTCCAGATTTTGAGGGAAAATGGATTCATACCTCCTGAGATAAGGGAAGAATCAAGGACAGTCATGGTCTAATGATAAATGTTAGAATAGACAATTAGATTTGGTAATACGGTGGTCATTGATGACCTTGACAAGAACAGTTTTGGCGTAGTGGATTCAGTAGAAACTAGGAGAGGAACTGAAGACAGTGAGTATAAAAAGTTATAGTGATGTTATTTCAAGGATTGTTCTAAGGGAGGGCAGAGTAATAGGGCTGTGGCTGGAGGAGCATGAAAATGTTAGAATTCTTTTTGTTTTTAGGTGGGCAGATAGCATGTTTGTAAGTTAACAGGATTTTGGAGTACAGAGAGACAAATTGATGATTAAAAGAGAGAAGGGACAAATGAAGGGGTGAAGTCCTTGAGTAGAGAGAGGGAATGGAGTCTAGGTTGTATAAATGGATATGTTGGCCTCAAGCTAGATAGATACGTGGTGATTATACTGACCCAAGTACTGGTGCATTGTTAGCTTGGTAGTGGGACAGAGTGAAAGTTCTCTTCTTATTACTTCATACTCTCAGTTAAATAAGAAGGAAGGTCTTCAGCTAAAAATGAAGAGTGAGAGAGGTAGGTGTTGGAAGTTTGAGGAGAAAGCAGGTGTGAAATTCATCCAGGAGAGTGGGGGAAAAATGAGACAAATAAGGAAATATTTTTGGATTGCCAGACAGCACCAAGTGCCCATTTGGTTAAATTTAAGATGAGACCCAGTTACCATGTTGAATGTTTTACCTTGAGATGTATTGAGCTCCTTGGATGTGGGCAGTGGGGGAGGGAGTGGCTGAGGTAGGATAGAGCAGGGGTCTCCAGTCTTTTTGGCACCAGGGACTGGTTTCATTGAAGACCAGAGTTGGGGGTGGGGAGAATGGTTTTGGAATGATTCAAGTGCAGTAGGTTTCGAGCTCCAGTAATGCTAGCAATGGAGAGTGGCTTTTAATACACATGAGGCTTTACTTGCTCATGACTCATCTCTTGCTGTGCAGCCTGGTTCCTAACAAGCCGTAGACCAGTACCGGTTTGTCACCCAGGGGTTGGGGACCCCTGGGATAGAGGACATCATTGGAAGATAGGAGTAAAAGAACTGGGAGGAAAGGATAGTAGATGATCAGTGCATATTGAGAACATCATGAATTAAGTTGGGAGTAATAATAGCAAAGAGACAATGATCCAGAAGCCAAAATCTTGAGAGAATGTGGAGGACTGAGTGACCTACTGTAGATGTCTGTAACAAGAAGGGATAGTGAGTGGTTATTATTTGTTGGGATGAAGAAATCATCCAATATAAAATACAGTTTCTCAAAAAGCCTGTGTTTCCAGATTAAAACAACCCTCCAAAAATCCAGCACAATTAATTTTAAAATATGCATGCGTGGCACAGCATCATGAAATTCTTGAGCACTATAAAGAGAAAAGGATATCTACAAATCACATAGAGTCAGGAATCATAAGATTGGACGCTAGAGGATAA